AGTGGTTTTGTTAGCTGCATGGTCCTGTTATCAGTGTGGTGCTGTTAGTAGCATGGTAATGTTAGTGGAGTGGTTTTGTTAGTAGCATGGTACTGATAGTAGCATGGTACTACTAACAGTGTGGTTCTGTTAGCTGCATGGTCCTGTAAGTGGAGTGGTTTTGTTAGCAGCATAATACTGTTATCAGTGTGGTGCTTTTAGCAGTGTGGTCCTGTTAGCATGTGGTTCTGTTAGCAGCCTGGTTATGTTTGCAGCGTGGTACTACTAGGATTGTGGTTCAAGAATCTTTAAGGAGAAAGAGCAGGAATCAGGATTTTTTTGTCACCTGGTACAGTGTTCCAGTGTGTGGGGTGGAGATGGAGGTGTGTCAACAAAACTACAGAACCATCTGGTACCACACCTGAGCCTCATATAGGACTAAATGAAAGCTGAGCTCTAAACAGTTATGATTACATAAAGCATGAAGAGCTATTCGTTTTTTCCCTCAATTTTCCAAATGCATCTCACCAAAAATTCATACTTGTCATGCAAAATAAATCAGCGTTTTTTTCTCAAATGGCTGCAGAGTGAATAAGAGATGAGGCTTAAATGTTTGCAACCTCCTGCCTGACACGTTCCATCACATCAGCAGAGCCATGCGTTGTGGGTTTGTGTGAAATTAAAGTGTGCATATATGTTTTTGTGCGTGCACTGCCCTTCCTGTGTGTGAGTATTGGAGTATGGGGTTACTGTGCAGTGGATGTAATGAACCATGCATGTCGTTATTGTGTGTCAAGTGTGGTGTCTTCAGAGAGTTGTTAGAGCATCTCTGCACCATTCAGGACCTTTTGATACAAGAAACACACTCGAGCCACATGCTTCCTCCTACTCAGCACGAAACCAGGGGTTTATGTTACAGCTAATTGACACTGAGCAAGACTTCAAAGGTGAAAGCTGCTACTTTTAGTTATTAGTGTTAAAATTAAAGTTTTATCAGCAAGTAACAAAAATATTTTTTTCTCTCAAACATGAGTCCTAGCATTCTTTGTAGGGATGCTTATCATCTGCTGCCTTTAATTCCAGCATTAGACTCCAGTTATATTGAGAAATGATTGAAAGGGTTGAAGCCATTCTGGTCAAACACCAAACATACCATTATGTGTAATCTCATGTGGCATTGCGAGATGTCACATTCATTCAGTATCTGCAAATTTCACTGTTATAGACATTTTGGTGTTGGTTAATGCCAAGTAGCTATAGTGGCCATCTTGAATTAGGTTGACTCCAAAAGATAATTAATTGTAGTAAACTTCCAAAGATTAGGTTTGGAAACTATTCATTATTGTTTGTCCAATGGGTCATGTGATGTTTTTCTGACAGACTAATGTGTTTGATTTCAAAAGTCAATGCTATAATTTTAAGCAGATAGTTTATTGTACTAACATACGTTAGGCAATGTAGACATTTATGTCTGTTTTTAACCAAAAGACTCATACATCTTGATTGCAGTCACATTGGAATCAGTGGAACGGCTGTGGCTGAGTGGCTAGAGCAGTTGTCCTCCAATGCAAGAGTTGGGGGTTCAATTCCACCAGCTGTCACATACCAAAGTGTCCCTGGGCAAGACACTGAATCCCTCATTGCCTCCGATGTGTGTCCCATTAGTGTATGAATGTGATAAAGCACTAATCATTCTTTGTGCACATCTAGTAGAGTGCTGTATGAATGGGCAAATGAGGGCACGGATTGTGTTGTAAAGAGCTTTGAGTGTCTTGCTCAGATAGAATAGAACTATATAACTGCAGTCCATTTACCATTCCATTTACATTTGGTACCACATCTTTTTAATTAAATTTGCATTATTCTGTCATCAGTTCCTGCCATGATCACATCCTACCCCAACACAACGCTGGCCACGCAGGGAGAGGAGAAGAAGATGAGCTGCACAGCACATGGTGAGAAACCCATCATGGTTCGCTGGGAGAAGGAGGAGCGAATCATCAACCCAGAGACCAGCCGCTACGTTGTTTCAGTCAAGGAGGTGGGCGATGAGGTCATCTCTACGCTGCAGGTAGGAGTTTATTCTCATAAGTAAACTGTTTGAAACAACACAAATAATGTTGATAAATGATACACATAACAGTCAGTAATGGTGTACCACAAGGCTCAGTCTTAGGACCAACCCACTTTACAATCTACATAGGTAACATAGGTCAAAGCATCCCTGATGCATCCTTACATTTCAATGCTGATGACACAGTTGTTTATTGTCGAGCTAAAACTGTTGCTAAGGCTTTTCAGCTTTTGCAAACCGCCTTTGACATCATCCAGTCAGATTTGTTCCATCTCAAACTTGCCCTAAATGCCAATAAAACCAAAGGGATGCTTTTTCCAAACAGGAAGTCAGTCCCATCAGTTCTTCCTCAGATTTTATCCTCAAATGGTGTCCCTATTGAGTTTGTTGATTCCTATAAATATTTGGGTATCTTGGTCGGCTCACATCTCTCTTTTAAGCTCCATGTGGAAAACTTGGTAAAGAAACTGAAAATTAAACTGGGTTTCTTTTTCAGAAACAGATCCTGTCTAACTCTGAATGCTAGGAAACACCTTGTATCTGTGACTTTCCTTCCCTCCATTGATTACGGTGACATTATTTACATGAACGCTCCTACAAGAACCCTGCAGATGTTGGATGCTGCAGATGTTGGATGCTGCAGATGTTGGATGCTGTCTATCATGGTGCGCTAAGATTCATAACTGGCTGTAACTACGTACCCACCACTGCACTCCGCTCTTATTCTCATCAGTTCGGTTCGGCTATAATTCACATGCATAAATCGTGCGGAGTCAGGCACGGAGTCACTTTCAAAACTCCTAAAAATTAGGATTGCACAGGTAACCTGTGAAGCTGCAGCTGCAGGGAACGCAGCCATCTTGGCCAAATAGTACAGTATATTCGTTGTTTTGGATTGAAAATAAGATCAAAGGAGTAATCTGCAATGGAAATATGAAGATGACTCAACATCAAGCTTCCTGTGATTGTTGGTATCACTGTAACTAATAAAGTCTGAGTCCTTCAACAGAATATGATCTTTGCTCCATTTATTTATCAGCATGTTCTCACTCTCTACCATCTACCAGATCATGCCAACAGTGAGAGAGGACTCCGGCTTCTTCTCATGCCATGCCATCAACTCTTTTGGTGAAGACAGAGGAATCATACAGCTCACCATCCAAGGTAAAACTGAGCTCAGAGAACATGGTGATGATCAGATGCAGATAAATTTGTTGGTCATCTAAGGAGACAAATAATTCTTAGTTTTTAGGCTTATTCCAAACCAAGTGTTTGACCTTAATTGGTGTCACTGGTGCCTTCATGCTTCTTATCAGCCATTCATCTAATTTAAAGAGAACAAACAGCCACTAGGAGAACAAAGTTGAAAGCTGTCTGAGGAGCTACAATCTCCAAGCACGTTCCTCTGACCACAGCTGACAAAAACGTAAAACGTACAAGGTTCATGGGAGTGTAGACAACCTCCCTGAGTGTAGATGCAAGAAGAAATGCAGCTCCTGGTTGGTCAAAAGGATAAAAAGTCTCAAAGAAACCATCTAAAACCATTGAAACAACTCCTAATTTCATTGCTTTTTGAATCATATTGGGTTCCATAGAAGAAGACCCAGGAGGCTCCACTACTGACAGAAAAACACAAACAAGTCAGACAGGAACAAACCTAAAAGAGTCAAAGTTTCTGGAAAAATAATACTGACACTGATGAAACAAAAACTGAACTGTTGTCTCCAGTCACATCACTTTTTATTCATTCACTCATTTATGGAGAAGGACTCCGACAAATGTATTTATGTCTGTATCCTAAGATGATGCTTTTGTCTTCTAAAAGTTCCTAATAATACAAGATGATGGCTACTATTATTTCATGGCAAGTTCAGCAATACTAAAAAATGTGGTAACTAATGTTCCTTCTAGAGCCTCCAGATCCTCCAGAGGTAGAGATCCGAGACGTGAAGGACAGAACGATCGCCCTGCGTTGGACCATGGGCTTTGATGGAAACAGCCCCATCACAGGCTTCGATATCGAGAGCAAAAACAAGTCAGGTAGAAACAACTTCTACTCCATGTAGATTATGTATTAGTACTTTACTTTAATTAATACTAATATCATTAAAGTGAGGAGAAATCCTGTCAGCCTTTAGAGAAAACAAATGAATTCTGGGAAATTCATGATTCCTGCATCTGTTTTAGGGCTGTGATTTAATTCAGGCTGAATTTGATCTCTCCTCTAACTTCAGGAATCCAGGAACAAGAAAAGGTCTAAAGAAATGTTGAAAGGAACGAATGAAGCTTCTGCTCTAATCTTTAACACAATAATCTTTGTAATAGTAAATATTTGAAAATGGCTTCATTTGGATGTATAAACTGTAGAAGACAAAGAGAACGAGGATCAAAATAAATATTAAAGCTGCGTCAGTGGCTCCTTCTGGTCACCACGGTAACTAAAACCTTATGTCTCACTCCCTCACTGCCTTGTTAATGAGACAATGAGCCTCATAAAGTGTTGTATATACACAAATCTGGTGTTTTATGTAGGAAATATGAGAGGTTGGAAAGTGGCAGTTTAATGTAAAAAGTAACTGAATCTGTTGAAACTTGACTGTCCACACTATTCTGGATGACAAAAACTAAATGTGTCGATGTGTAATTTATACATGTACTAAAACTAGTTGTGGAATGAAGAGTTTGCAAATGATGTGTGGTTATTAGACATTTCAACACATCAGCTCTCAACTGAACACTGGGTAGAAAATCTGAGAAAATTGTGAAGCCTAAAATGTGGTTTGGAAAAAAAACACTGCCAAGTATGACTGAGCTGTAGAGCTTCTTTCTTTCTTCCTTCAAATAGTTGAAGCTTAAAGCTCTTAAAACGAGAAGAACACCAGCTGAAAGGCAGAAAACAAGCTAAAATTGTCACAAGCAGGTTGCGGATTCTTAATAAGCCACAGGAGTGCAAAAAATAAAAAGTCTTTATTAAATTGGTTGCTGGAGTCAGGGTCCACGGTGGGAGTCCAATATTAAAAGACAAAGAGGTTAGTGACTTTGGCGAGGACGAGGAGATTCTGTGGTTACAATAAAAGTCAGGAACCTTCTCAGTCTGTGCGTGGCAGGTGCTGTGGTCGCGCTGGTGCCAGTGATGTCGCTCGTGCAGAGTGAGCTGCACCAGTGGAGCAGACTTTGGAGCTGTTCGACGTCCGTGGGGGGCGCAAATCCAAACCCGTGGTCCGTGATTAGTAGCAGGGGTCATGCACAGGGTCGCAGGGAGCAGAAGACTGAGCAGAACCAAGATCTGAAGTGGTGGTCGTTGGGAAAGTGCAGAGTCAAAAACCAGGCGAGGGTTCAAGACAAGGCTGTTAGTATTTTATCTAGACCGACCCTGAGTTTCTGATCTGCTCAGAGATGGGATTATAATGAAATTATGACCCGGTTCTGACTGGTTTAAATGGGGCCAGCAACTCTAAAAAGAGTCTCCCAGGAATTCAAGATCCGTCAAGGACTAGAGCTTTTATTTATTTGTTATTAACTCGCTCATCATGTAGAAAGGCTTTTTCTGCACCGGTATCATTTTTCCTGACACGTCAGCCCTCATAAGATCCATTGAGATCACACTTAGCTGTCCGGTCCCTTATCCACGTGATAGGCTGTGCTCCCCCTCTGCGAAGGAGGAGTCTAGGCCCTATATATCTGTAATGCCATGTGACATCCGCCCCTTCCAGTCCAGGATCCCGTGTCATCGGACAGGCCAGCGCTGTAACCTGTAACCTTCTCCTGCCTTGATTTAATACAACTGGTAAAACTGAATTCACGTTTCCTTGATTTATTGATAGTGTGAGTTACCGCTTCTGAGGGAGGTCCGAGCCGGGGGGGCAGCGTGAGCTGGAGGCGGACCTGGGGTCCGATGAGGCCTGAGGACCACAGTAGCTGCAGGCCCTGAGCTACTGCAGCTACTAAAATAATAGCAAAAGTAGCAGAACGGTTTCTACAAATGGCAGAACAACAACTAATAGCTAAAGATAGCTTAACAGGAGGAAAACGGTGTATGCTTGAGTTAAACAGAAGTGTTTTTGAAATAACTCAAGAAATTCTGATATATTTTTAAAACTAATGTGTGATTGCTGACTCAGCATTCACACAGTAAAGGTGAACTGCATTAAAAAAAACTTTGTGTTTCCCTGCCCAGCCTCCTGGGACACTGCTCAGAAGACTAAAGATGTGTCACCTCAGCTCAACCAGGCCACCATCATAGACCTCCACCCCTCCTCCACTTACAACATCCGCATGTTTGCGAAGAACCTCATCGGCAAGAGTGAGGCCAGCAATGAGCTCACCATCACCACAGACGAAGCAGGTGAGACAGAGACACCTTTCTCTCCATAAAGGCTCACATGAGGGGCGGCTGTGGCTGAGTGGTTAGAGCAGTCGTCCTCCAATGCGAGAGTTGGGAGTTTGATTCCACCAGCAGTCACATGCCGACGTGTCCCTGGGCAAGACACTGAACCCCTCATTGCCTCTGATGTGTGTCCCATCAGTGCATGAATGTGAGAAAGCTCTGATTATTCTTTGTATAGATCTGGTAGAGAGCTGTATGAATGGGTCAGTGAGGCACAGGTTGTTGTAAAGAGCTTTGAATATATTGATACGACAGAAAGGAGCTGTATAAGTGCAGACCATTTATCATTTACATGGTTCACACCAAGAGGGACAACATCTAGATTAAAGTGTGTGGTGAATCAAAGGTGATAAAGCAAAAGCCCAGATGCATCATCACAATGTTGTGTTGCATTAGTGAACTCACACTGAGCCTGTGCTAAAAGCAGACATTTTTAATTAGCTGCCTCAGTCGTAAAACGTCATATACAGTCAATAAACTCAGGTTAAAGCCTTTGTGTAACGGACCTCCCATACCTCTCTGCCAGCCCCCCACAGAGCACCTCCCCTCACCCCCAGCAGCCACTAATAAATACGAGCATTGCCTTTGTCCACACGCCGACTGACTAATCTGTGACTTTTGTAAAATGTGCATGTTGATGATGTGATCGCAGCTCCCGATGGACCGCCTCAAGACGTGCAGCTGGAAGCCATCTCCTCTCAGAGTATCCGTGTCACGTGGAGAGTAAGTTGATCACACCATACATGTTTTTATGATGTTTGCATGCACAGTAGCTCTATTTATTTATCCAGGGATAACAATAACTACTGTTAGAAGGACAAGCTTTTAACCTGCCGCTGCTCTGGAGCTCATCAGGAATTCATTTGTTCTGTTGATGAATGTCAGTCAGGAAACTGTAAGAACACACGGTTACACTGTAACACACAGAATATATCGTCTTTTATATATATGATGTGAATCTGGGCAGCACGGTGGCACAACTGGTAGAGCTGCTGCGGTAATGGATGGATGCTGTGAATCTATTCCAAGCTGTTCAGTTGATGCCAGGCCCATTGCTGAAGGCCACAGGGTGATAACTCTGAAAGGAATCACTGAATGCATGTCGACAACTTTGGAAGTCAAACCAAATGAAGATGTCTACCACAGCAGACATTAGAAAACTAAAAAATGGTTTTGACTCAGCAAGTGTTCCATATGTCGAGTTAAAATTAGGTTTGGCAGTAGCTGAGAGTCATTCCCAACATGTCAGTGGCACCAACAAATATTATGATACAAGGTTCAACTAAACTAGCTACAACTCTGCTGCTTTTTGTTATATGATGATGATAGTTTGAACCTGAGGCGTGAAGGTGGTGGGCGACATGCAATCATCATTTTTTGTTTTGTCCACATCTGTATATATGCCACAATTTCAGTTACATTCAGTGATCCAACAACTCCTTGTCCAGTAAAACATTTAGCTAAGAATCATAATGGGCTATTGTTAACAGGTAATTCCATGGTAAAAGTAAATGTTCTCTCGTTATCTAACAAGGTTAAGTCAGGTCCTCTGGTCGGATTCTTCTTTTGAAGAAGAAGAACAACAACAACAAGAACGAGAACAAGAAGAAGGACAAGATTTTTTGATTTTAAACAAAACTTTATTTACACAAATAGTTAACACAACAGTGTTAAAAAAGGTGATCAGGACAAGCTTAAAATAAAATATTTACATGAGAAGCTTGTTGCATTGTAGTTGTCCCTGATCAGAACTGGTGCATAAAACCTTCTTAACCCCACAGTTTCACAAAGTTCTCCAGATGTCCAGTGTCTCTGTGGAAGCAAAACTCCAACTCCAGTCTGGCCTTGACGTTGCACTTCCACAGAGCCACGGCATCAAGTTGAGGTCCAGCCTGCAGTCTGTCCCTGTGAGACAAGTAAACAGACGTTTTTGCTTCGGCCACTAAAAAGTGTAAAGTTTGGGATTTAAACTTTGTGGCTTTGCTGTGATGTACTCCATTAATAAAAACAGATTTGGTGGCAAATGTCAAAAAGGCTGAAGATCCACGTCATTAGATTAAACAGAGCTGTCAGCCGTACGTAGCTGGCCACGCCCCTCCACACAGTGTCAGGAGGTCCTGTCAGGTACTTCTGGAGGAACTGTATTCAAAAAGTGGCCGTTCTGCTGGCCAGCTGTCCCCCCCTCCTCTCTAAGTAAGAACAGGACCAGCTGTGGCACCCAATGTCGACTGTTCCAAAAAACCAAAAATCTACCATCTCAGACTGTATTTTACTAACAGGTCTAAAACAGATAGTTTGTGCCACAGTTGTGATGCACCTAGGTTGTTTAACACGAGTACTCTGCCTCTGTAGGACTTTTTAGAGTGCAGCCATTTCCATTTTTCCAATTTATTCTTGACCTTCTGTTCCACATTTTCCCGAAGAAGAACAATAACAAGAAGAACAAGAACAAGAAGAACAATAACAAGAAGAACAAGAACAAGAAGAAGAGGAAAAATAATAATAATTATAATAAGAAAAAGACATCCAGAGGACCTGACTGAACCTTGTTAAGTTTTTATGTTTGTTTGTGTAATGATATTTGTGTGAACTTTGCTAGTGTGGGGTCAAGGTTTGAACTTATTTCTTAGGAGAAACAGGTCAATGCTAATTTAGAAAACAGAACTAGTGAGTCACCAGCAGAAGTCTGAACTTTACCTTAGAGCAAGAATTTACAAAATGCTTGTAAAAAGCAGGTGAACTCTGGCTAGAAGACTGAATTGGTTCAATTTTAGCAGATAGCCAGGAAATGCTAGCAAGTAGGCTACATAAGTAGCAAAACACGAGCAAAAACAGGAAAACACTACTATTTTCCCAGAAGTAGTGAAACACTTGCAAAGTGTAGAAAAACGCTAGGTATGATTTAAAATATCCAAAGTTGCCAGAAAATAAACCAAATTGCAGATTAAAATAAATAAAATTGTGGACCTCGTAAACTAAAGGCCTGAGGAAGCTCAAATGAAAAAATGTCACTTAAATGTGATTTTTTTTTTTTAAAGAGTGATTGAGATAGCTTAAAAAGACTGACTAGTTTATGATTGACAAAATTAATGAATTGTATTTTTTTTTTCTTTTGTTTTGCAAAGTGGCTGACCCCCCCAACCCCCGGAACAGTTACTGTTTTAAGACTGAAGGATAATTTAGGTGTTAAATAATGTCTGTGATTCTGTGCCAGCCACCCAAGAAGCACCTGCAGAACGGGGCCATCAGAGGATACCAGGTGGGCTACAGGGAGTACAGCTCTGGTGGAAACTATCAGTTCAGCGTAATCAGCTTGGAGACAACAGGAGACAATGCAGAGAGCCTGGTGCTGGATAGCCTCAAGAAATTCACCCAGTATGGGGTCGTGGTGCAAGCCAGCAACAGCGCAGGCACCGGGCCGTCTTCCACAGAGGTGGATGCTACCACACTGGAGGACGGTAAGAGAAAACAAACCTCATGAAGCTGGCTGACAGTGTTCCTTCAAACAAAAACACTACATTTATTCAGCAACAGTCTTAAAACAACAAAAATAAAATCTAGAAAAGTTTGCATTTTTTGTAATCACTGATGCATTTAATCAGTTTACCATTCATGTAATCAAATTGCATATTCTAGAATTGCAACGCTCAAGGTGGCTGCATGTTCGAGCAGCTGTTACTTTCATTCGGAGATTTTGCTTTTGAAAACTTTAATTCCTGTTTTTCTGGTTGAAAATCACATTTTTTGGATGATTGTTTCCTCTGGTATCAGGTGCTGTGCAGCTGGAAGGATTTTTACTGAAACTTTTTTAGTTTTGGACATTTGTTATGATGTGTAACCATGACAACAGGTGTTTTTTACTATCGGGAGCAGCTGATTAACATCTCAAAAGTTCGAATAATATCTCAACTACAGCCCCAAATCTCAAATTAGTTGAAAAGGAGGCTCCGTGGATGCATTCCCGTCTCCCTGCCGGCTGTGCTCGAGTGCCTGACCACTGAGATCCTGGAACTGGCAGGAAACATGGCTCGTGACAGCAGCCATGTTTGACAGCAGGTATGACAGCACCTGCAGCTGGCTTTCCGCAATGACGAGGAGCTTGGCAGGCTGCTGGGAAGAGTGACCATCGCTCTGGGAGAAGTTCTACCCGGCATTTGGACTGTCCTGCAGCCCAAGAGAACCAAGGCCAGCCGAATCTGGGTGGACGGATCGGACAGCATCGGTGGCCAGTTTCTTCAGATCCGCTGTAGGATGGACCTTTACAAGAGATCCTTCCTGCCTACAGCCATCAGCATCTATAACATCTCTTAATGAAACAAGGATAATGAGTTGCAACAAAATTTAATACTCCTTTGGGCTCAATAAAGCATTTTTTTATTGATTTTTTTTTGTGAGTACTGAGTGCTGAATTGCTTTGAAGCTGAAATGGAATTAATGGTTAAACAAGCAGAGAAGCTAAAATTAACAATTTTAAAATTATCTTAAAATTTGCTAAGCTAAAATTAGATAAACTTCATGTAAAACTACCAAAACCATAGATTCAATGTAACTTTTAACAAAACTGTAGCTAAATCTAGTTCATAGAGAAAAGCTAAAATGAGCAAAATTATAGCTAAAAGCATACATTTCATTTTGGCTGCTCCTTTCTTCCCACAGCGAGCAAACTCACATGAAAGATTTAGCAGTTGTTCTGCGCTGGATGACCTTCCTGACACAACCTGGGCTTGAACCTTAGGATGAGCAAAAATCTATGAATAACAAACCATAACAAAAAGCTACAATTAGATAAACCATAGTAAAATGCAGCTTAAGAAGGCAATTCAGCAAAAGAATTAAAAAAAATGTTTAAAAGTATAAATAAAGTATAGCCCTCCCTGGGCTGCCACCTTACCATGGTGGAGGGGTTTGAGTGTCCCAATGATCCTAGGAGCTATGCTGTCAGGGGCTTCACGCCCCTTGTAGGGTCACCCAAGGCAGACAGGTTCTAGGTGAGGGACCAGACAAAGTGCAGCCCAAACACCCCTATGATGAGAAAAATAAATGGACTCGATGTTCCCTGATGAGGAATCTTAAAATAACATCAATCAAGTCTTTGGAAGATGGCATCATGTCGTAGTGAGATTACCTGTATGAATAAAGATGTGATAAATGACTAAAATATTTCAGTTGTATAAAAGTTACAAAACCCAATAGCACTCTATTGTATTATATTATAGGCAGAAACATGGGTGTGCTATGGGGTCTCCAGTTTCTCCTATTGTTGCCAACCTGTACATGGAGGAGGTAGAAAAGAGAGCCTTGACGTCCTTTTCAGGGACACCACCAAGTCATTGGTTCAGGTATGTTGACGACACCTGGGTTAAAATTAAATCTCAGGAAGTCCAACATTTTACTGACCACATCAACTCTGTGGATAAATACATCAAGTTCACACGAGAAGATGAAAAAAATGGCAGGTTGGCTTTCTTGGACTGTGAGGTCTCAGTCTCTGATAGAGGACATTTGCAAACTGAGGTGTACCACAACCCACCCACACAGACCAGTATCTGCAGTTTGACTCCCATCACCCTTTGGAGCACAAGTTAGGAGTCATCAGGACTCTGTACCACAGAGCAGACAGCGTCACCACTAGCTCAGGAGCCAGGCAGAAGGAGAAATCCCACACAAGACAGGCTCTAGAGCAATGTGGATATCCTAACTGGGCCTTCCTGAAAGCAGAGAAGAAACCCAAACAGGACTCCAGTCAGCCATCAGGTGAAAAGGAGGAACCCAGACCCAGACCAGTTGTCATTCCATATGTTGAGGGAGTATCAGAGAAACTGAGACGTTTGTTTTCTAAACATAACGTCCCAGTGGCTTTTAAACCCCAAAATACATTAAAGACTGGTTCATCCCAAAGATCCAGTCCCCCGGCACAAACAGAGCAATGTTGTGTATGTTGTTCAGTGTCAGGAGGGTGATCAGTCTTACATCGGGGAAACTAAACAGCCACTGGCCAAAAGGATGGACCAGCACAGAAGATCAACATCATCAGACCAGGACTCTGAGGTCTACACTCATCTCCAGGTCAGAGGTCACTCTTTCAGGGATGAAGATGTTCACATCCTGGACAGAGAGGAACGATGGTTTGAGAGAGGAGTAAAGGAGGCCATCTTTGTGAAAAGAAACCGTCCATCATTAAACAGGGGTGGAGGCCTCCGGGTTCAACTGTCCCCCTCTTACAATGCTGTGATTGCTAGTATCACTCAGCCCTCTGTGAACAGTAAACAGCCATCAGGTGCTAATGACCCATTGTTAGGCTGATGGTCCTTCTTGAGCATGTGATCAGCTGGTTCTGGTTGTCAGCAGCAAACTGGTTGATCCACTCTGAGAAGGTGCTATTTAAGAGACTGAGCTGAAAACAGCTCCTCAGACTGAGGAAGTCCTCGGGATGAGAGACGAAACGTTTCTACATTTTTTTGTTGATTTGCTTTGTTTTGTTTTTTTTTTGAATGTCCAGAGGACCAGATTTAACTTTTTTAGATTTTTCTACCTGGATTATTGAGCATGCATCAGGATACCAATAGCACTCTATTCTTGAGCAAACTGATTGTTTTTATGTATGACTAGTTAAAATAGCACAAGGTATATTACAGCAGTTTGACTGCATATGACATGCAGGACAACTGCTGCATGTGACAGAACAGAAAAACTACAATCAGTTCTGACTCAGCTGTTAACGAATAAGCATGGAATTAGAGAAACACTGAAATGGCTGCAGATTACAGCTAGGCAAGATTTTTGGGAGCCATCTTGAGAAGTCTTTCATGTATCACCCTGTGCTGTTTACATGTGGAAGACACGTGTTAACATATCGTGCACGTTGTATGCTGTGCCATCAGTAAATTAGAATACAGAAAAATCTTGATTTTACTTGAACAAAAGCACGATGCACTATATAAAAAAATAAAAGTATTCTGTAATAAGCCTTCCAACAAGTACATTCAAACTATAGCAAAAGAGTTTGTTTTTAGTGTGTAATGAACTAATATGATGTAATATTTACTTTTGAAGCTACATTCTATTCATTCAACCTTTATTTATACAGAAAGTGTCACTGAGTCACAAGGACTCATCTACAATCAGTCAGTAGCTCAGAGAGATATGAGGGTGTAAATAGAATAAAAATGATCTTGAGCAACAGTCAATAAACAAAGAAACATGAAACAGTCATTGGACCCATATGGAAATTACACGTGTTTCAGATGTAAAAACAAACAAACAAACAAACAACAACAAAAAATAGAACAAAAAAAAACAACCATTACAGATAAAAATTAGATTTATAACTGATCAATCATCTACATTTTCATGTTTGTGCTGATGTTCAATGTTTTATGTTATGAGTGCTTAGTGTATATTTAGTTGATGTTTTTCTTAGTTCATATCTTAGATGTTATTACTGTTTTTCTTATACATTTTATTGTTGGATGTAACTGGGACCCTGTGGACATAATTTCGCTCCACCACATGTACCACATGAGGTGCGAATGACAATAAAGAAACTCTGACTCTGACAAGACAGACCTGTTTTACACAGAGAACATTTACGTCAAGTGCCGTCAACTTTATTAATAAAGCACGTTTAAAACAGCAGCTGTTAACAAAGTACTTAACAATAAAACCAATGGCAGTAACTTAAAGAAAAAATAATACCAAAAATTAATTTAAAGCATCAAAAGAAAAACAAAACAATAAAATACTCAATCAAATCACACTGTGTTAAAAGTCACAGGTGTTTTTAGCAGAGATTTAAAAACAGGAAGTGGAGGGGCCTGTCTAATGTTGGGGGGGGGCAGATTGTTCCAGAGTTTAGAGCCCTCGACTGAAAAAGCCCGATCTCCTCTGAGCTTCATCCAACAGCAGCTGATCAGATGTTGGTTGAAGGTCGAAGTAGCTCAGAGAGATATGAGGGTGTATATAGAATAAAAATGATCTTGAGCAACAGTCAATAAACAAAGAAACATGAAACAGTCATTGGACCCATATGGAAATTACACGTGTTTCAGATGTAAAAAACAAACAAACAAACAAACAAACAAACAACAACAAAAATAGAAACAAAAAAAACAAGCATTACAGATAAAAATTAGATTTATAAATTCTACTTTTTGTCCTGTCGTTTGTGCATCATAGTCTTTTAGCACAAAAACTTGACGTCCTTTGAATTTCAGACAAACTGCAACGTTTGAAAGGAAAAACATCTGCAGAGTAAAAACTGTTGACCGTGCAGGATTTTATTTGCTGACAGGTCGCGCGGTCACAGTTGAAACGTGTGTGAGTCAATATCACAGCCTCGTGGACATCCACGGGTACTGCGTCATCTGCTCTGTTACCCTGTGACACTCAAGTGTTTTTAATGCTGTCCCGGTTCTCCTCCTGCAGTGCCGAGTCGTCCTCCGGAGAACGTCCAGGCTGTCGCCACGTCTCCAGAGGTCATCTCTCTGTCCTGGCTCACTCCTCCCAAAGACGCTCTAAACGGGAACCTGCTGGGCTTCAGGGTCATCTACTGGGCCAACCTCCTAGATGGAGGTACACAATCAGACTTCAGCACTTTACAAGCACATACATATGTTTCATGTCTCCAAACAACACATGAAAGATTTAATTCAAAGTGGTTTATGCATAAATAAACTTAGTTACTAAAAATGTTCATCTCTCCAGGTTCTCTTTCTTTAATTTTGATCTTTTAAGCAGAAATTTCATAACTGGAGTTTTTATCCATCCATCCATCCATGCATGCATCCATCCATCCATCCATCCATGCATGCATGCATCCATCCATCCATCCATCCATCCATGCATGCATCCATCCATCCATCCATCCATGCATGCATGCATGCATCCATCCATCCATCCATCCATCCATCCATCCATCCATGCATGCATGCATGCATCCATCCATCCATCCATCCATGCATGCATGCATGCATCCATCCATCCATGCATCCATTATTTTTACCTGCTTCTGCCTTTTGGGGTTGTGGGGGCCACTGGTGCCCATGTCCAGCAGTCACTGAGGTGGGGGACACCCTGGACAGGTCTCCAGTCCATCACAGGGACACATAGAGACAAACAACCATTCACTCTCTCTCTCACCTAGGGACAATTTAGAGTTACCAATCAGCCTAACATGCATGTTTTTGGTCTGTGGGAGGAAACTGGAGTACCTGGAGGAAACCCACGCATGCACGGGGAGAACATGCAAAACGCCACACAAAAAGGTCCTCAGCTGGGATTTGTTCCGGCAACCTTCTCACTGAGAGGCAGCAGCTCTACCACCAGAGCCACCGTACCGCTCAGTTGGAGTTTTCACTTTGTTTAGTGGAATAAAAACTTCTTCTCCCAGAGAAGAGGTGGTAGATTTACCAAAGACATGCTGCTGGTCTAAAGGTTCAGTCTCATTGGACCACAGCACCTTCTTCCACATGATTTGTGATGAAATCCAAACAGGCCGGCGTTTTTTCTGCCACTCCTCCATGAAGCCCAGCTCGACGCAGCTTCTAGTGGTCTTGTGGACAGATCCTCCCTCTTACGTCAGGGTTCTCTCTGGCCTTCTGTATGTGTGTCTGAGTAATGCCCTCTTTACCCGCTCCCTGAGTTTTGCTGGGTGACCTTCTCTTGGCAGGTTGCCTGTGGTGACATATTCTTTCTATTTCCTAATAATGAATTTACCGTCAGTCTGTGGGATGTTCAGTTTAGATCTGTACTTATTGACACCTTTGTCTGACATGTGGGGCGAGTTCCTTGGTCTTCTTACTGTCTCTTGCTTGGTGGTAGACGGCACCACTGTTGACCTTCTGTTGATGATGGGAGTCTCAGACCTGGAGGACTAATATAGACATCAGCCGATGCTTGTATTGTTTACGGGGGGATAGTATTTAACCAATTATCTTGCATCTTAAAGTGATGGTGCTTCAAAGCAGAGCAAAAGCAGTGAATACTTGTGCACCTATTTACTTTCATTCATCTGGAAAATAAATTGGAGACTTATTTCTATTTACTGAATTAAAATTCTAATGAACCTTTAGGCTGTAAGGCAACAAAATAAAGTACACAGAGGGATGACTCAAAGATGATGTAAAGATGATGTAAATACATGTCCCTGCATACTGTTCTCAGATGGATCACTACCTCGGTGGCTTGTACTCCCTGAAACGTCCTCTTCTGGCTAACTACATGGACTGTGGGAGTGGGGCAGCGTGGCATGGCGCTGTCATGCTGGGTTTGTGTTGGCAGGATTGGTTGTGACAGTGTGATTACGTTTACCCCTCACACTGTCACATCACGTTGACTCGCCTTGCAGACAAGAAAACTCAGGATATGACAGCCGCAGCAAGTTTGCATAGTAACAGTGGAAGAATGTACCATCTGAAAGCTTTTCACTCAAATTAACTTTAAAACCGCTAAACACATCTGCTCTAGAATAAATAGGAAGATTAAAGGATATGTCCTCATTATTCAGTCAAAGCAAGTACAGAATGTATTTAACTGCACTGGTGCAGGCTGTCCCAGTTACACTGACCTTGTAGTTTGCTTTCTCCACTTATCACCCGCCATCACAGGGGAAAGGGCAAACATGTTTTGACCTATGCCTGTATGTGTGGGCATTCTTTTATGTGTAGTGTTAGCCAAATGTCTCCTGACACTCCAAGAAAGTTGTTAAAGGTGGTGGTGAAGAGCATTCTTGACTTCTAGTTAAACCTTCTGATGGGTTTGTGGAGAAAAATCTGACACGCATTTATTTGCGTTCATTTTTTTCTTGTAGTTTTTTTCTGGAGTTCTCAATAAACATGATTGACAGATTCCAAAGATACGCCCTTTAGCATTCATTCACAACAAATGACCATTTGAATCCCACTATAAATGTAGTTTCATTACATATTTATCGTGTCGAAAAGTAATAAATTCCTTTCAGTTGTTTTCCTTTATCCCTCTACTTTTAGTTTTTAAATTAGCCCATACGGTGGTGCTCCCCTCAGGAAGGAGGCTGAGGAGCATTAAGTGTAGAACCACTAGACTGAGGAACAGCTTCTACCCTGAGACTGTTAGACTCATGAATCTCTAAACAGGAAAACCACTGTTAAAAAAAAAAAAAAAAAATCATCGTCGTTCCACGTTAATTGGTGATATATGACTTACAGTATTTGTGCTGCTGATTATCTCATGCTGCTGATTATCTCATGCTGCTGATTATCTCATGCTGCTGTATTCATTCATATCCATCTGCTCACCACAGACTCATGTTGGGGCTGCTGTTGTTACGCCATATTGTTTTACATTATTAGTGTTTAGCATATATCTTAATTCTTTCAGCGTACCATTTGTAGTTTGTTTAGCATATAGCAGAGGTCACCAAGGTGCAGGACTTCAAGGACTTGGGGTCCACTGTCCAGGAACATGGGGAGTGTGGTAAAGAGGTGAAGAAGAGAGTCCAGGCAGGATGGAGTGATGGAGAAAAGTTTCAGGAGTGATTTGTGACAAAAGGGTGTCAGCAAAGGTCAAAGGAAAAGTTTACAAGACAGTGATGAGACCAGCTCTGTTGTATGGTCTGGAGACAGAGACATGGACAAAAAGACCGGAGACAGAGACATGGACAAAAAGACAGGAGACAGAACTGGAAGTGTCAGAAATGAAGATGTTGAGGTTCTCCTTAGGAGAGACAAGGATGGAGAAGATCAGGAATGAGATCATCAGAGGTACAGCACAGGTTGAACAACTGGGAGATAAAGTTAGAGAGGACACACTGAGATGGTTTAGACATGTCCAGAGGAGGGACAGTGGTTTGGACATGTCCAGAGGAGGAACAGTGGTTTGGACATGTCCAGATGAGGGACAGTGGTTTGGACATGTCCAGAGGAGGGACAGTGGTTTGAACATGTCCAGAGGAGGGACAGTGGTTTGAACATGTCCAGAGGAGGGACAGTGGTTTGGACATGTCCAGAGGAGGGACAGTGGTTTGGACATGTCCAGAGGAGGGTCAGTGGTTTGAACATGTCCAGAGGAGGGACAGTGGGTTGGACATGTCCAGAGGAGGGACAGTGGGTATACTGGTAGAAGGATGTTACAAATGCAGCTGCCAGGAAAAAGACAAAGAGGAAATCTATGGACGCAGTTAGAGAGGACATGGAGGTAGTTGGAGTGAGGACAGAGGACAGAGTGAGGTGGAGGAGGATGACTCGCCGTGGAGACCCCTGAAGAGGGAAAAGCCGAAAGAAGAAGAAGAAGAAGAAGATATCTTAGATCCTTGTATACTGTTTCTTTTTTATACTGTATATTTTGCTATTCTGGGGTGTAACTGGGACCCTGTGTTCACACCAGCTCATGTTCCACCTGTGGTGGAAACAACAATAAAGTTGACTTGAACTTGAATGACGGATGGATGAGACCTTTGATCTCAGACATTACTGCTTCTACGTTTGGTATCTGAATGTGGATCACAGATTTGGCAGATGTGCCAGATGTGCTTCTGAGTGTTCTTATTTACTTTGTTCAGGGCCACTCTGTCCTTTACTCGATCCTTAGCCTGTTTCTCTTGCTGTGATTTTCCGTCCTTCAGAGCTTGGAGAGATCAGGAACGTTACAACCTCTAAGCCTTCTCTGGAGCTGGATGGACTGGAGAAATACACCAACTACAGCATCCAGGTGCTTGCCTTCACCAGAGCTGGTGACGGCGTTCGCAGCGAACAGATTTACACCCGCACCAAGGAGTATGGTAGGAAAACTAAAACTGCTCACTTCAAGGCATGATCCGGTTATTTTAGAAATAAGTAAATATTTATACATAAGTTCCTCATGACGTCTGTGAATAACAATTCTTGGTTATAGAAACAAACTTCATTGACTACATCACCTTGTGCTTCCAGTTCCTGGCCCTCCAGCTGGGGTGAAAGCTGCAGCTTCATCCAACTCTGTGGTGTTTGTGTCCTGGCTTCCTCCTCTCAAAGTGAACGGCATCATCAGGAAGTACACTGTTTTCTGCTCCAACCCTCACCCCACGGTAATACACAAAACACAACGGAATAGATTTTAGTCCCACTTGATGTGAAGTTTGCATTTTAAGGTCTCACATTACTTAAAAATGCCTTGGAAAAGTATCCAAACAACTTTGAAGTTTTCCACATTTCGTAGCATTACAATCACAAATTCCATTTTTACTGGAATTTGATGTGATGGGCCAACTCAAAGTAGCAGATAATTGTTAAGTAGGAGATGGCCTTCAAAACATTTTAAATGTTTAAATCTAAAAAGTGTGGCTGACATCTGTATCCAGACTCCTTTTCCTCAATACGTTTAATACAATTTATAGCAATAATATAGCAGTTTTTTGTTGTAAGTTGTTGCCATGTCGCCTTTTGTTTTAATTTTTGGTTAAAATAAATTTGATTTCTTTTTGCTTTGAGTTCTCTTGAGTCTACCTGCATTTGGGTCCAGTCCCAAGGCGTTCCCAGGCCAGCTGAGAAACATAGTCCCTCCAACATGTCCTGGGTCTTCCTCTGGGTCTCCTCCCGGTGGGACGTGCCCGGAACACCTCACCAGGGAGGCGTCCAGGAGGCATCCTAACCAGATGCCCGAGCCACCTCAACTGGCTCCTCTCGACGTGGAGAAGCAGCGGCTCTACTCTGAGTCCCTCCTGGATGAACGAGCTTCTCACCTGACGTACTGCCGTCAATACGGACCAAGCCCTGACACCGGCCATACAGGGACCTAAGAGCCCGTATCAAAGGGTCTGGTACCCCATACTCCCAGAGTACCCCCCACAGGATTTTTTTTCTTTGTAAAGAAATTTGAAAGTCATGTATCAATTTCCTCCGCTTCACAGTTATGTCCTACTTTGTGTTCGTCCATAACATAAAATCCCAGTCAAATACTTTGAATTTACTGGTTGTCACATGATAAAACGTGGAAAAGTTTCAAGGAGCTTGAAGACTTTTTCAAGCCTCAGGAAAAGCAAATCAAGCCAATTTAGTTTAAACCAGCCAAATGAAGGTGCGGGTGTTTATGGTTTAACTTTTCATGGGATGTTTTTAGGATTATTTACTAGAAAATAGTTTCTGACTGACCCAACATGGCCATTTGTAGTAGGTTGAGAGTTCTTAACTTTCTTTTCCTTTCTGTCTGTAGGTGAGTAGTGAATTTGAGGCAGCACCAGATGTGTTCTTTTACCGTATCCCTAACCTGAGCAGGAACAGGCAGTACAGCATCTGGGTGGTGGCGGTCACTGCTGCAGGCCGTGGAAACGCCAGCGAGATCATCACGGTCAAACCCATGGCTGATGGTGGGTGGAGTTTCTTTGATGTCTTGTTACATAGCAAGCGTTCTCTCAGTGCTTTATCATAAAAAACACAAGAACACCAGTTGAATATATTTTGCCAATGAATGTGGCAGCGCAACGGCTCAGTGGTTAGTACTGTTGCCTCAGAGCAAGAATGTCCCAGGTTCAATCCCCAGTTGAACCTGGGGTCTTTCTGGGTGGAGTTTGCACGTTCTTCTTGTGCTTGTGTGGGTTTTCTCTGGGTACACCAGTTAAATAAAGGTTAATAACCAATAAAAATATAAACATTGACCTTGTCAATGTTTACATGATTGATGAGTGCTGATAGAACCTGCAGTGCAGGGCCCAGAGCTCCTTTAAGGACATTCACATCTACCTTAAGGCCCATGGCATCAATGTCCTCTCATTTCTGAGGCATTGATGAGTTAGAGATCAAAACATCATCACTCTGTGACCTCTGAGCTTGGTTCAGACAGGTCAAGGGTTAGACTAAATGATGGCAATGCAAACTCAAGTGTTTAAGTATTTACACTAACCAATGAATTCTTGGGTGGCGTTCCCTCAAAACGTTTATTCATGTTTGTTTTTATGTTAATTCCTGCAGCTCCAGCTCGAATACTGACTTTCAACAGGACAGTAACAACCCCCTGGATGAGGGACATTGTGCTTCCTTGTAAAGCTGTTGGTGATCCGTCCCCAAGTATCAAGTGGCTAAAGGACATGTGAGAAATATACAGATAAACTACAAACTTATAATTTGTTGTACATAAATATGTATGAAGGCAGCCTTTTCTGAAACGTGAAGGCCGATCATTAACACATCTGTGTTTCAGTAACGGGACTCCCACACCAGTTGTGACTGACAGCCGGCGCAGTGTGCATGGAAATGGCAGCCTTGTTATTCGCACAGTGAAGGCAGAGGATTCTGGGAATTACACTTGTGTAGCCAGTAACAACTTTGGTTTGGACAAGATTGTTCTCAATCTTCAGGTTCAAGGTGAGGGAGAAAATACTGATGAATAACTTTTCTGTTATCACTAGCATGTTGTACATCGTACAGAAATCACATCTGGATCTTTTCCTGAAGCTCACCATGGGTATGCCATTTGAAAATCCTGTTTACGGTTTTTCTCCCAGTTCCACCAGACCAGCCTCGCCTTACTGTGACAAAGACAACCACCACCTCAATCACACTCTCCTGGATCCCAGGAGATAATGGAGGCAGCTCCATACGAGGTCAAACAAAGTTCAGTGTTTCACTTTACCTGACTAACTTTAAGCAGAAGACTGATACACACTGTCCCATCTCCAGGCTACATCCTGCAGTACTCAGAGGATAACAGTGAGCAGTGGGGGAATTTCGCCATCAGTCCCAGCGAGCGTGCCTATCGGCTGGAAAACCTCAAATGCGGTACCTGGTACAAGTTCACCCTCACTGCCCAGAATGCAGTGGGTCCTGGACGTATCAGTGAGATCATCGAGGCAAAGACTCACGGGAAAGGTAAAAGAAAAGTTACCTTTTTTATTTTTTTACTTGTAGAATTCTTGCTTTAATTCTGCTGGAGTTCTCTTTCCACCTGTTCTGTGTTCCCTAAGCTGTCCATGCAAGTTTGGGATATGGCATTCATTTATTGTTGAGGTTAAATATTAAGATATTTAAAATAAATTTACTAGACAACTTTTAAACGCCCACCTTGAGACGTATTGACTCACTCAAGTGCATCCACAGACTTTCTCATATCCCAACCATAATTTCAGATCCACTCAAGATATTTTAATGAAACTTGATACACATATGCATCATCACTAGACAAAGTGTCTTGTACACTGTTCATCACCCCAGCTCTAGGGTCAAGGTCACATATCAAGGTCAAATGTTACACAAGGTCTATACTTGTCTGGAACATTGCTACAGATTGCTGTATGACGGCTTACAATGTGCCATATACTCGTTAACCTTTTTGATGTTTTTAATGCTCATCAATGGTGAACAAGTTGAACTTTTGCAAAAGTGTAGTATATTTAGACCAATTAAATGAGTTCTTACTGTTTGATTTATTTGTACTGTGTTCCTATAATGAGCTTTAATTAAACTGGATTGACACCTGTAACAATCAAACTGAATCGAACTGGGTTGCGTTCAGTTGTAACTGAACTGAATTAAACTGGTGTTTGATGCTGCTGTGCCACGAGTTAAGTAAAATGTTGGGATGACAAGACACACTGATCAGGCGAACTGAAACATTTACAGCCTCAGAACCATGAACAGTGATGAACTTTTAACACTAACCCAACTTAAAATGGCCGCCACACCTAACCTAGATTAGAAATGACAAAACTAGCTATAATGTGATCAGCTTTAGAATTATTGTGCTAAAATGTTAATGTGGTAGTAGCTGAGTGTCGTTCTCAACACTAACTCTGAGCATGACATCTAACAATATTGCAGAAGATTGTGCGTGTTGTTCCTTTTAGGTTTTTCACACGACTATCACTTTTGTCATTTCTCAACAGAAGTTAATCTTAGTCTACAACTCTAGCATGAAAGGTGACGGCTAATATTCATCTCTTCAAGGAATGCTAAGCCTTTATTTTGTTTGAACACTTGAATGCTTTCTTCACAAATGTGGAGACAAGATTGTCGGCTCTAGGTTGAGACCAGACTAAAGATAATTAGGTAATAAATAGGACTTAATATTACAATCAATATTATAATTAATTCCAATTATCTTTCAACAGAGCCGCAGTATTCCAAAGAACAAGAGCTCTTCACCAGCATCAACGCCACTCGAGTTAAGCTCAACTTGAACGGATGGAATAACGGTGGATGCCCGATTACCTCCTTCACCTTGGAATATCGGGCAGTGGACTCCCCCACTTGGACCACGGCACAGCGCACCTCCCTCACCAAAAGCTGCATCCTGTACGACCTGCAGGAGGCCACCTGGTACGAGCTGCAGATGAAGGTGTACAACAGCGCCGGCTATGCCGAGAAGAGGGTCAAGTTTGCAACACTGAGCTACGATGGCAGTGAGTTGCTTTTACTTCTTTTCAGTAAACTGTATCATTCTCAGTATCAGCACATGGCAGTACAATAGCATGAGGTGAGGAAGACTCATTTCTCTTTTTGAGGCAGATTTTGGGGCTCAGTGATACAAAGACTTTGATCACAGAGGCAATAAAATACTAAACTCATTAGCGTGGGTTCTTTTCGAGATGTTGGTGACATCTTGCTGAAAACTGTAACTGGTGCTTAAAACTCAAGTTAAATCAGTTTATGAACCATTTCTTTTCAGTATATAGACTATCTGTCATATGACCTCTGCACAGGCACCATCGCTCCTTTAGTAAAGGCGCCTAATGTGAGTGAGAACAACCCCGGCGGCGGTGAAGGCTTGAAGATGATGGTGACCGTTTCCTGTGTGTTGGTGGGCATCATTGTAATCTTCATTGGACTGCTGGTTCTGAGACGGAGGAGGCGAGAACAGAGGCTCAAAAGGCTGAGAGGTGAGGTCCAAAATGGTTTGTGCTGATTGGACTCGGGGGCAAATCTGGGCTCTGACCTTTAGAGGTGTTCTCACTGGGGAGAAGCTCAAAGTTGCTCTAGGTCCAATACTTTTCATGCTGTTCTCTCTTCTTGTAACTCAAAATAATATTAAAAAGAGAGAATAAAAATTATTCATAAAATGGATGTACACAAAAAGCCCAAATGGAAAGCTTCCTTTTGTTTCAGAAAAGAAGTGTTTACTCCTTGGACAGTCTATGCCCGTTTTCTCACTTGCTTCTTTTAGGTTTTGTTCCCCGTCTTTGTTCTCTCCATCCTTTTCTCTTCCTCTTTGTTAGATGTATTTATCAGAAGCTTCTCCTATCACTCACTAAACAATGTCCAGTTGGTAGTAGGTAGGTAGTGACAGAATCCACAGTATGTACTGTTGCTGCAGGCAGCAGGGTCACAGCGCATTAGGACAAATGTGGTAAACAAACCTGCTGTGAACAAAGAACGTCCATTTGCTACAACTGTGGTCAGAGGTTTCTATGAACTCAGTGTGGTACAAATGTCAGATTAATTTAAGGCTTTTTATGAACGACTTGAACTGTTACTTGTCCAGGGTAGAACAACACACAATTTAATGGTTTTTAAAACTATGATTTGCAAGCACAATTATGAATTCTTTGTGGAATAACTCACTTGACATTTCTTGGACTAACCTTCAACTCCATTACTTGAATGCTGCAGTGTGATGAAACCGAAAATCCAAATACGTGTAATTGTTGTCTGAATTAAAGCTGTTTACAGTATAAAACCATATTTCGATTAACTTTTTTAAATATTTATTTTCAGTATTCCAATGTTTAATGAATTCTTCTTTTTGGGGGGTTAATTTGACATTTTCATTGGATACTCATCTCTAAAATCCGTTTTGGTAAATGTAAGGTTTGAAAATGATGCTACCTGTCAAAACCAAGATACTGTAGTCACCATTCATCATTCTACAAAGCTCTCAACAACCTAGCTCCATCTTATATTTGAGATTTGTTGTTCCATATTTTCCTAACGGAGCATGGAGCACTTCTCAGGCTGCAGGTTTACTTGTGGTTCCTAGAGTTTCCAAGAGCAGAATGGGAGGAAACTCTTCCAGTTCTCAGGCTCCTCTCTAGTGGAACCAATTTCCAGTTTCTGTCCATGAGGCTGACACATTGTCCAGTTTGACTTTCCTTTTTGATAAATCCTATAGTTAGGGTTGTTATGCTGCTATAGGCTTAGACTACTAGAGGACAAACTGACCTCATTTCATTAAATGAATTGTTAGAATTGAATAGTTTTCATTTGATACTATTTCTATCTTAACATGTGATTCTTGACCTGCCATTGTGTATCTGTTCTTACCAAACCCAGCCGGTCAAAGCAGATGGTCCTCTAGTCCTGATCCTGGTTCTGCTAAAGGTTTCTTCCTCATGAGGGAGTTTTTCTTTCCACTGTCACCTTCATGCTTGTTCAAGATGAGAGTTCAGTGATGGAGTTAAACTCAGAGCTGCTCCTCAGATTAATAATGTTCAATTATTATTTTATACATGAATGTTTCTGTTCAATTATTATTTTATACATGAATGTTTCTGTTCAGGCCCTGAGACGACTTCTGTTGTGACTTGGCGCTATTGAAATAAACTGAATTGAATTTAATTGAATTCAGGCTCCATTTCCTCACATAAAAAATCTGCTTGATTTTCCAGATGCAAAAAGTTTGGCTGAGATGCTCATGAGGTAAATATTCCACACAATGACCCAGTTACATGAGTTATGTCCAATACAAGAAGTGTTGCAGTCTTTGTTTTGTGCTCCTCAGTAAAAACACACGTCCAGCGGAGCCAATTAACAAACAGCAACAGACGCTGCGCATGCACATTGACATTCCCAGAGCCCAGCTCCTCATCGAGGAGAGAGACACCATGGAGACCGTCGGTGAGCACCCCACTGGCACCGTGCACTTATGACATCCATAGAAGACACAAATGTCCTAACTACCATTACTGTGATGTTCACCTCACAGATGACAGATCCACGGTGTTACTGACCGACAACGATTTTGGGGAAACACAGAAACAGAAGTCGTCCACAGTCACCCACACTGTCCACTACCAGTCACTGTCTCAAGCCACTGGTCCACTGGTAGATGTATCTGATGCCAGACCAGGAACCAGTAAGTCCAGTACGGACTCTTTTTTACTTTATTGACCATACTTTTGTCGTGATCTGTAAGTTTTGATCTTTTGTTTGAACGTTGTTCTTCAGTTTGTTAATTTGATGTTGTGTTATTTTTTAATCCTACATGGACTGATCTTAGGTTCATTATTGCCCACTACCAAAACAAGGAGCTATTATTGTAATGATGTGTGTGCTTTGGTGTGCATGTGTGTGTAAATGGCTTTATGTTCGTCTGTTAGCAAAAGATCTCATGAACCACTGGACAGATTTCAGTGAAATTCTCTGAAAATACTAAATGTTCTTCTAGACCTGATTACCATTTGGAGTCTGTCAGATTCAAGATGTCCGCCACAGCCAGTCGACCTTAACAAACAATAAAGTGGCTGTTACTTCAGTCACTTTCTGCAGCTTTTGAGCTGAAGCCTTGTGAACAGTCTTGGGCGGCGGTGGCTGAGTGGTTAGAGCATCCTCCAGTGGGAAAGTTGGGGGTTTGATTCCAACAGCTGTCACGTGTTGAAGTGTCCCTGGGCCAGACACTGAAGCCCTCACTGCCTCTGATGTGTGTCCAATCAGTGCATGGATGTGATCTAAAGCTGTGATTGGTCTCTACAGATTCAGATGATCTTTGTACAGATCTAGTGGAGTCCTGTATGAATGGGTAAATGAGAGCACCAAGCTTCGAGTGTCTTGATCAGATAGTAAGGAGTTAAACAAGTGCAGTTCATTTACCATTTATTTACAACGCAGGTTTTGCTCACAAGGTTTGAAAGAAACGACTACAAATCCATCAAACCTCACTTTAAGATGATATATGGGGCCGAGATGGTGTAGAGGCAGGGCAGCCGGCTTGGGACCCGAGAGTCCCAGGTTCGATCCCCAGTCACTGCACATCACGTGGCGTCTCTGGGCAGCACGTCTAATCCCCAAAATGTCCCCCGGGCGCTTTCAATAGCTGCCCACTGCACCACCTGGTGGTGGATGGGTTAAATGCAGAGACTAATTTCACCATTGTATGGAAACATACAGTGCTGACATTGTGATGACATTATTATTATTATTATTATTTTAGCCCAAAACTCTGGTCTTGCAAAGAACTTTAATATTTTTCTTCATCTGAGCAGACTCTTTAGATGTGATCATTTTTAATACTCGATTTTATGGATGCAAAAGTCTTTGTGGGAGTGTATGTATTAGTGAGTTAGTATCATATTTATGATTTTTAGTATGTTAGCTGAATGTGTGAGGATGGGGAGGGATTGAGGAGGTGCTATGATATTTACGTAAATTTGTGGGTTGCAAGGATATTTTAGAATTTGTAGAGGAAAACGTTTTGTATTTTTATTGTATTTAGATTTTTAAATTGTTTGTATTTTGATGTATAGATTTTATTATATGAATTTGGAGGTTGTTAGGTTGATTACATGAATATGTAGGCAGGAATATTCTTACTGATCGATAAATTGTTATGTATTTTAATGTGTAGAAATGCCAACCAGGGACTGGAGTTGTGAATTAGCTGTAGCTAAGATGATTAGATAATAATAAGATGATATGATAATAATAAGATGATAAGATAATAATAAGATGATAAGATAATAAT